CTACAAGAAAGCTGGTGATCCAATTGCACAATTTCTCGGGAAGCCCATAGGAAGGGAGCTTCGAAAGAAGCGCTTTGTGCCGAACCCGATCGAGGGCCTTCGCAATGCCCAAACTAACGGCCAATGCCTCCAAAAGGAGGTGATGGCGATGGGCCTGTAGTTGGATGGGTCTGAGCGGTCACCTTTTTTAGGGATCGAGTGGATTAAAGCCGTCTTCCATGATTTTGAGACTAGCCCTAGGGAGTAGTAGTACCGTAAAAGCCACGTTAAGACCGGTGCCAACTCTGGAGCACACGTCCTTAGCACAATTGGGGGGGGGTACCGTCAGGCCCACTCGACTTGTGGATGTCCAGAGAGAGGAGTGCTTTGCGAACCGAACGCTGTGTGAACCGCACCTCCGGCATGAAGCACTCACACCACGGGATGGTCGGCGGTGTACTCCCCCTCGTCATCAAGAGTCGAATTGACGCAAAGAAAGAGCCTAGCAGATCGGCCTTCTCCTTTGCGGCATGAGCCAGTGAGTCGTCTTCTTTTTTCTTCTTTTTTCTGACAGAAATTCCCCTGGACAGCCTTGGCGAGAGACCAGAATGCACGGGTTCCAGAATTAAGGCGAACTAGTTTCTCGCCAATTCTCCTATGTGCTCTGACTTTGCCTTGTCAATGACTCTTTTGAAGGACCTGGAAGCGGAATTATACTTCTTTTTTAGAGCGCTGGTGTTTACATCCCGGGACGTTGATATATCAGCCCAGGCTTGGTAGCACTCCTGCTTATAGCATGATGCTATTTTACAGGAGCGACCAAACCATGGCTGAGATTTGTGGAACAAAAAGTTCCGTACCTTGAAGTACCACATCAGCAACAGAATCAGGAACAGCGTCGGGATCGTCCAGCGAGAAGCAAACCCAAGTGTAAGATGCAATGATAGACCGCATCCTATCCCAATCAGCTGACCTATAGTTCCAAACTCGGCGACAGCCTGTAGAGTGCAACCGCGATTTCGGCGTGAGGGCGTCGACGGAAATCTGATATCCATCCGGATGAGAGGTCAGCAGAAGGTCCAACAGGGAAGGTGCATGATCCTCCACATCTGGAATCCGCGTAGACGAAGTAACTAGTTGTGTCAGACCATATGCCAAGGCAAAATCATGAACAGATCTCCCCGCACGATCGTTTGAACGTGAACTAAGCCATTCGGCGTGGTAGGCGATAAAATCGCCGAGGATCACGATCTCTGCGGGGGGATCTATTGTAGCAAAGAACCTGTAACCATTTGGACGTGTTCGAGGAGTCGGTCTGTTTCGGCATTACCGCTATGGGACCTATAGAGGCATCCGTAGACGCGCGGATGGTCGTGACTGTCTACGCGTAGCCAAAAGATGGACAGGTCCGAACCTTCAAGACTGCCGAGGCGTCGAGAACAGATGTCCTCTCTGACGTATACGCAAACTCCAGCCCGAGGCACAGAGGAGTGTTCCAGTTTGTACCCCGGGTAGGAGAGATACGAAGCATCAGCCGGAGAGAACATCTGCGTCTCGGTCAGAAAGAGCAGAGCCGGCCTCGCCGTCTGGAGATGGTAGTGGACGGCGTTTAGGTTAGAATGAAGTCCCCTAATATTGCAGAAATTCACGGATAGTGGCAGGGGTCCCCTTAGTCTTGTTGCTCAGTTTGCCCCGAGAAGTTGTTGTCTTGGGATCGTTCAGCGAGAAGCAAACCCATCCCCAAGGGTAGGATGCAATGATAGACCGCATCCCATCCCAATCAGCTGACCTATAGTTCCAAACTCGGCGACAGCCTGCAGAGTGCAACCGCGATTTCGGCGTGAGTGGCACCACACTCCGGACAAGACCATGGTCCGAGGAGCCTAAAGAGGCGTCGACGGAAATCTGATATCCATCCGGATGAGAGGTCAGCAGAAGGTCCAACAGGGAAGGTGTATGATCCTCCACATCTGGAATCCGCGTAGGCGAAGTAACCAGTTGTGTCAGACCATTTGCCAAGGCAAAATCATGAACAGATCTCCCGCATGATCGGTTGAACGTGAACCAAGCCATTCGGCGTGGTGGGCGTTAAAATCGCCGAGGATCACGATCTCTGCGGGGTGGTCTGTTGTAGCAAAGAACCTGTAACCATTTGGACGTGTTCGAGGAGTCGGTCTGTTTCGGCATTACCGCTATGGGACATATAGAGGCACCCGTAGACGCACGGATGGTCGTGACTGTCTACGCGTAGCCAAAGGATGGACAGGTCCGAACCTTCAAGACTGCCGAGGCGTCGAGAACAGATGTCCTCTCTGACGTATACGCAAACTCCAGCCCGAGGCACAGAGGAGTGTTCTAGTTTGTACCCCGGTTAGGAGAGATACGAAGCATCAGCTGGAGGACACCTGCGTCTCGGTCAGAAAGAGCAGAGCCGGCCTCGCCGTCTGGAGATGGTAGTGGACGGCGTTTAGGTTAGAATGAAGTCCCCTGATATTGCAGAAATTCACGGATAGCGTGACAGGGGTCGCCTTGGTCTTGTTGCTCAATTTGCCCCGAGAAGTTGTCTTGAGCGAAATTTTACTGTTAAAAGTTCATATTAAATGGTCAATAATTTACTAAACCTTCACAACTAAATTGTTTGGCTAATTGCTGTGACTTGTTATGATCGTGAACCACTGTGATTTTATGGCCAATTGCTAAATTTCTCAAATGACTGAATTTGATTGAGATTTTTCACCAATACATAAATGATTTTATTTACGTTCTTTTATTACCTGTGACCCCCATCCCATTTTCTTTTATTTGGTATGTGATAAGTGTATATGTGACTTTATAAACATGTTTTTATTAATGTCAGAAAATAAATCTCATGTTAAGTGGTCAATAACTACAGAATTCACCCTATTCTGTACCACAGATTACTGTATATATACGTCTGTACTTTTTGTTTTAATGTAATTGAAATGGCTTTTTGAAATAAAACATTCACTAAATACTGAAATTCTTTTTATTCAATTAATATTCAATTTACGAGAAAACTATCACTAACGGAAACTTAAACAAATAACATTACAGAACGAAAAGTAATTAACATACATGATAAACATAACTAAATTAAAGCTATCTGTAGTGACAACATTACATTGTATTCGAACAAAATATTTGTCACACGTTAAATTTGTTTAACCTATTTTCAATTTGATGATTTACAAAAATGTTTTTCAATATTATAAAGTGCATAACATACAAGTAAAACTACTCATTTTTCTTGGATTTTCTTTACACGTTCTTGGAGTCCAATTAATGTTTTCAGAGTGCTTTGGCAACACTGTTCACAAGGTTGATTGAAACAAAGGTGTATTATTTAGGATTATAAAGTTACAAGATTACAACATATTATATGTTCTTATTACATCAATCATAACTTACATAATTTACGGTAACTTTATAGGGTTTAAATTTAGTTAGCTTACAAAATCTCTAGTTATATATACATATAGCAAAAAAATAGTAAAAACAAAACATTTATTATTCAAAAACGACACAATCTATTTATAATTTGTTAAAATATAAACATTCTAATATATATATTTCATTATTATTAAATGAATTTATTATCGTATAGGCCTACCAGGAAAATAAAAACGTTCATTTTGCAGATACTAACGAAACCAATTTTATTCACTGGCATCATAAAATACTTAGTGTAATCCATCAAGTCTATAAATGTCTGAATTTGGCTGCGAACAGAGTAGATATATTTTCTTTCACTTTTTCATTGAAAACCATGTAGTGGCAATGTAAGAATATCCACTATCCCATATCATCTCGTGGGTGTTACAAGAGGCGACGAGAGAAATTAAACAGGAGATAGGCAACAGTATGTCCCCCCCCCCCTGGTAGTAAATATTTGGGTGAGGCTTATATTCAGCAGTGGACTTTTATAGGATGTAATGATCGAAGGAATGGCGGATTTTTTTTTATTTTGTAATTTTATAGATTACCTCATGAGGACAAGAAAATAAAATGAAACATACAACATTATGGGTCACAATTATGCGTTTTTTCCCTTCATTCAAAATTATTAATTCATATGTACATGATTTACATATAATAAATACTATGCATATGTATTAAATATATACAATATTTTTTTATAGTTATATACTTTAATTTACATTGCTTCACACACCTACTTCATATTTTTGACTGCACATTACCCAAAGGTAGATAATGCCTATAAGGCATTAAGTGCGCCTGTACATCATATTGGTATGAAGTTTAAATAAATAAATCAATAGAATTAAAAATATTGAAAAGGTTGATTGGAGTCTTTCTATTAAATAAGACTAGACAAATTTCTAACATTTAGCTACCAGCTACTTTATAAAATAGTGTAACATTTTTACTAGCAAAGCTGATAAGAATTTTTTTAAAAGAATATTAACAATGCTATAAACTTTACTAATATTCCCCTTAACCACTTGTGGTAAGCTTAAATTGCTTGTTTAATTTAATTGAACGACCTTTTTGAGTTCGCGGTTCGCGCCCTGCCATTAGGTTACTGTCGCTTCAATTAATCAATAAATAGTAAAAAATCTGAAGTCGCATGCCGTTACAGTTACAACCTATTAAAATCCATTGCTGAACATAGGCCTCCCCAACAGATGGAAGTCGAAATAGCTAAAAAAGTATTCTTAAAAAAGTTTTACGCATTGCTTTTTTACAGGCATTAATTTTACTATTGACATAAACAAAATCATCCAAAAAGAAATTAGCAATGCATAGAGATACCAATATTGTACAGTGAATTATCGATCAATTAAATCACATGCATTTATTACAGTCATATTAAGTCCAGAAATAGGTTCTAGGTAGGCTTTTCATTTATTTAGACATGCTATAACTTTATGTTTTAAAATATTTGCGAAAAATACATAAATGAAATAAGATTTAAATATTAAAAATAATAATAATACGTACATAACATGAATTGAATAATAATAAATAATAATATAATTTTAAGCTAAGTAAACATTTTGCTGGACGATTAAAACCTCCTTTTGTAGATTACCAGATCCAATCTTGCAATTCGACATCACCTGTAATCCTTCCATCCTGAAAAAAATCTGGGTTGTCATTCCTATTCTATAATTAAGTATTTTTATTTTTCTTTCTTATTTTTTTTTTTTTTGAAGCAGTTCATAAACGTAAATTGCACTAAGACAAATATCCAGACCCGGAACAATTATTTGTAGGCGATACAAATACTTGTTCCGTGTGGGATTCGAACATTTCACTGCGCCACGGAACCATCAATTTCAATTTCATAATTGTGACTGAAGACTCCCTCTAGGTCGCTCAGGAAGCTATGGATAGGGCTATGCTTGGAATATCACTATGTGATGGACTTCGTAATATGGATATCCACAGTAGAACCAAAGCAACCAACAAAACCCAAAGGTTCTTGAGTGGTAGTTCCACTAGATGACCCGAAATGAGATGCAGGTAGTTGATGGATGCAGGTGACTCAGACCCCTGCTTGTGGGGTTCCTTGGAAGAGACTCATGTCCAGAAGTGGACTTGAATAAGTGTAGGGAGAACCAAAGACCCTTTTTACGACGAGGCATCTTAGTCCTCAAGAGTGACAATGCATCTGTATTTTTAATTTTGTTTGAGGAGGGATAGACGTTTATGGGCCAGAGCATCCACAATCACTTATCATCCTCATTCTATAAATTCTATAAGAAAAAAACGAGCAAGCGTTACAGTAGTCATATATGAATGTGTAATATCGACATCTCACCTTGGTAAGTAACATTATTATTATTATATTGTGAAAAAAGCTTTGTTTTTTTTTAGTGAAAATTAAAAATATCAATTGAGCAGCGACAGAAATTCTCAAAATTTATTCATTCCAATAAATTATTCATTATTACACACTTGCATTTTTTATTAAGGATCTGCACCTTTTTCAGACACTTTTATATCAACAGTAAATATATTTATTAATGTAGTTTACACATATAAATTAGTTTATATAACAGCACACTTCACGACCACCGCGCGCGTTCATGGGTCAAATCAAATAACGCACGCTTTCCCGGCTTTCTGTCAACCACTTTCATCTCTTTTCCTGAAATCACTCCCATAGATTGCGGATCCTATCGAGTTCTAGCAAAGCTATTGTTACGAGTTTGAGGTTCGTGACAATTAAAAATTGCCGATAGAATTACCAAAATTAACTCTTTAATTCACTTTACACTAATTAAACTTAAAACACTAATAATTAATCACACTGATTCACTTTATTCCGCTCCGAAGCTTCGCTTGTCTCGCCAAATTCAATACTTCCCCGGTCGCTCCTTGCAGCGCCTATAAATACACATTAGTACCGAAACATCCAGAACATTCAAGTAAATACGTGCACCAATCGACAAAGCGCCGAAAGTTCGAGTCTCAGCTTCTAGAAGCTTAGTTCTTCATTTCAACAACAGATGGCGCTGTCGGTTGAAAGATTAGCGATTTCATTTGTCTGGAATGCTCTCTCCTCGCTCTGTTACCCGACACTAGATGGCGCTAGTGCCAGAGGTCAACTTAGCCGCGCAACACTATGATCTGTCTGCTCCAGTTAAATTACTAAGCCTTAGCCTTGAGCTTTCATTTCTGGGGGGTTTAAGAGCAAGTAGGAAGGCGATAAAACAAATATATTGTGTGAGATCACATTATCAGGTTCGATCAATCAAGTCATTCAAAAGTTATCCTAATCACTTACAGTTGCACCAACAATTATATAAAAACACAAATACTCACTCGTTCATCTTGTCAGAACCATCAACGTCGACTTCACACCGAATGCACTGCTCAGAACAGTTTGCTATAACTGTGCTGTCCAATTTTACGTGCGCACCCGAATACATCTGAATTCCTACCCCACACTTCCGCAATATACATTTACTTAGCTCCATCTGAAAATTTCAATGTATTATAATATAAAATAATTATTTATATATCATAATAATTTTAACTTGTCACTAGCTAGAAATAGCCTTCCCCATAAATCCACCACAAAACCCAATCTATAGTCACCATGGGCATGACTAACACTTTCATAGCTGGCATGAGAAAACATAGACACTTTCGCCGATGCGTAGGCACAAAAATTTTCTCAATATTGAAGGTAGGCGGGGATTTACTATCAGAGAAATGTGGGCAATCAAAACATACCTGGACTAGAAAATCAACAATAAGCATTTCTGCATATACAATGGTGGTCATAGAATTAAGAACTATTAATAATACAAAGCCAATATACTATCTTTTCACTATAATTTCCATGCACAATTTGTTTCTAAACATACTCTGGTAGAATATTCTTAAGCCTTGTACGGACTAAGTGTTCCAATTTACGCGTAGTCGGATACGCGTACAACAGGAGCGCTAGTCCGTACCTGCAGCAATGCTTGTACAATTTGGGCTCGCGTGTCGACTTGCGACCAGTCATCGCCAGTTGGCTTTTGGTAGCACAATGAGAAGTGCCGCAGTGGTGTTGCACATTACAGCTGTGTTTCGAGACATGGTGGATACTGGCTAGGCGATTTATGTCTTGTCACCTCGCAATGCATAAAGGTGCCATGTAGGCGTATCCACCAGTGCGCGTATTCAACATACATAGATTTCGCGTACATTGGAACGCTTAGTCCGTACAAGCAGGCCTCTATCACTCTTCCTACCTGCGTGAAATAATTACCTAAAATCGCGCGCCCGGGCGAAATAACGCAGTCAGGGCTAGCGCGTTAGAGGCAATTGAATGTTAGAGTTTTTTTAACGCTGTTTACGTAAATAGTTTTATGTAAATACTTGTTGAATTAGTTTTTGTTTAGTGTTTAGTATATTTTTAATAGTAGGTAAAAATAGTTGTAAAAGATTTAATGTATTTAAAAATTATGTAATATGTATATTATCTATTTGATAAATTATAATAGCAAAACGTCGTTCCTACTATAACTGTTGCTTAGATGGATACTAAATGAAATGACCAACAAAAGGTTATTCGTCCGATAAAAGCTGTAGTATTTTAAAACTATACTCTGACGTGTCCATTATTACCGAAGCGTTTAGCTTTTATCGGACGAAAGTACATATAAAAAGGTCAAAACAGACCCCACAACTAACACGCTTAAAGCAACTAGCGATTTAATAAAAAAATACTCCGAAAAAAAAATCTCGACGTGAATTCGCTAATACCATCATGTACCAAACCACCAAGGTTGTATGGGTTACCGAAGATACACAAACCAAACGCTCCACTACGTCCTATAGTGAGCCAGATCGATTCACCAACTTATAACCTGGCACAACACTTGGCAAAAATACTGTCACCACTGAGAGGACATACCAGAGCACACACAAAGGATTCATACCATTTTGTTAGTGAGATAAAAGACCTAATCTCGCTGACAATGAAACTATGGTCAGTTTTGATGTTCAGTCACTATTCACATGCCTACCTATTGAAGACTGCATCTCAATTGTAACTAGGAAGCTAGAAGATAACAACATGCCTGCTGAATATGCAGTATTACTCAAACATTGCCTCACATCTAGCTATTTATTGTGGAAGAGTTCTACAAGGTTGGTGTGGCGATGGGCTCACCTATATCTCCCATAGTCGCCGACATATTTATGGAGGACTTCGAGGAGAAAGCCCTTCTTACTGCTCCTGTAAATCCAAGATTCTACAAGCGGTACGTAGACGAAACCTTCACAATTTTACCATCTGACAAAGTAACTGCATTTTTAAACCACCTTAACTCTATAAACTCTAAAATACAATTCACAATGGAGTTAGAGGCAAATAATTCTTTAGCTTTCCTAGATGTTTTAGTCATTCGAAATCCTGATAACACTATTGGTCACACTGTGTATAGAAAAAAGACCCATACCAACCGATATTTAAATGGCTACCGTGGGTAAATCTTTGTTTCAGAGAGCACGAGGGATCTGTGACAGAAAACATCTGGCCGCCGAGCTGCAGCATGTCAAGCATGTGTTGCAAGACAACAAGCTTCGGATCCCGCGCCTAAATCACAGTGACCGACTGAAGCCGGCCACAGTCAAGCGTGTGCCTGCTGTACTACCATATGTCAGAGGAGTCACAGACAAGGTTGGCTACATCTTGAAGCGAGCTTCCATTAAAACATACTAGAAGCCGCCGAAAAAGATTAGTAAATTTTTACCATCCGTCAAGTGTAATATCCCTCTACAAGATGCAGGAGTATACAAGTTAGATTGTGAATGTGGTCTCTTACATAGGTCAAACATAAAGATCCATAAAAACCCACGTGAAAGAACATATAGCTGACGTGAAGCACCGACGCTCCGGGAAGTCTGCAGTCTGTGAACATGTTCAAGATCGTCCCTACCATTACATCAGATTTGATAAACCACAAATCCTCGCAAAAGAACACCGATTCCTACCAAGGATGATACGCGAGGCTATTGAAATTAAAAAACATCCTAATTTCAATAGAGAAGATGGTTGGGTGCTGCCATCTGCTTGGGATCCTATAATTAACAAAATTAAACCCAAACCCAAGCATACCACTGCAAGACTTCAAGATACTGTAAGTTCGTTTTGCGTAAATCGGACCAAAAATTAATATTCAAAAACTGAAGGTAGCCGGGCTAACAATGACATTGGGACATCAAACATCTCAGTCCCCCCTGTAGCTGTATGGAACTGGAACCTGCGGTTCATTATACAGTTACTCTATAATAAATCTGTGGTTCATTATACAGTTACTCTATAATGAATCTGCGGTTCATTATACAGTTACTCTATATCAATAAACCCTCCGATTGTTTTACCAGTATAAGTAGATAAAATATTACCTGTGCACCTCTGTGAATCACAATTCCAGAATAAAAGTTTTCAAATGTACAGTCTTCAATGACGACCTTTGCTCCAGCCATCGCCACAATGCCTTGCGCAAAATCACTCTAAAGGAAAGAAATTAACTAATTAGGATGTTATCTTAATATATAAATATAAATATATATATATATATATATATATATATATATATATATATATAAATTACGTGTTACGTTGTTTGTCCGCGATTGAAAAGGAACCAGACAAACGTTAACTAAGAAACAGAAGGGGGGAATCGAGGCTTCTCTCGATCCGGCCTCCTATACCGCCTACGTTGGGTTCGCGAACAACGTATGTGATCTCCGCAACGGAGTAACACACAAGGGCGATAACCTCTTCCTTTTCAGAAAATAGGTTCAGGCGGGGATTACGGGTCTTCCGAAGTCGTCCCGGTCCCAACGCCTTAATTCTTCGATATGGACGTATCACTTTAAGGGGAGAATTCCTTGGGAATAAAACAGCAATTATCTTCAAACCGTTCCATGAGAGAGTAATTACTTTTCCCTATTACTTCCCTATACTTTTTCTTTCTTCTTCTTATTGACTGCTGGTCTTGCACTTTTCCCGAACGAATTGCAAGAAAAATCAATTTACTGAACTACCTCGAAGCTAAACGCGAAAGTGAGCCGCGCCATTTGTGCGCTTGCGCAACTCAATTACATCAATTTGTACTATCACTCTCTCACGGTTTGCTCAATAACTTTATTTGTATAAGACATACATTTATACAATTTACTTATAAAGATAGCACAAAGAAATATCTATACTACGATATACATTACATTTTCATATCACAAAAAATCCTTTATTTATTTAACAAAATATGCTTATTTTACTCACATATTCAAAGTTAGAATTTCTTAAATATTTAACATAGAAAGTTAAAACAATGTATTCCACTCGAAATTATACATATCTTAACTAATACAATATAGTTTAATTTAGATTTTCTCTATACATTTCACTATTAAAACACTTTTAAATTTCTTATACAAAACTATCATTATTTCACTTATTCACAGGAATTTTCACATAAAATAACACAGAATTCACCTCTTTTACACTTACAATCAATCTGAAATGTTTTACAAGTCATTTTACATAAATTGCTGAAATTTGCAAATATTTAAATTTCTACATATTTGGCCTCCTAAGTATGTGGCTAGCGTGCGTCTATGAACTCACACTATTTGAACAACTAACTTTTGCACGGCACTATCAGTAAAAATGGAAAGTTTAGTATACACTAATATCAACAATACTAGGTGAATAAATGATTCTACTCAATTCTCAAACGCCGAAAACTACCTCTAATCAAATTCTTATCAGTTATCATGTTTCTTATCAAACAATATAAGTGAATGTTTTCATAAATCAATCATAGAAAATAGGCATTTGTTTTCATACAAAACATATCAAACTCATATAAGACAATACTTATGCAATTAATTTCCATTAATTCTACTTATGCACAGCGATCATTTCGACCAGGGAACAAATCCGGTAACATAATTTATATCTTAAATTTATTAAGAGATATTACTAAGAAAACGATAAACTATTCCGGCCTGGGAGTCGAACACAAGACCTTCATATCATTAATTCGATATTTCTTTAAGATTCAACTAAGCATTTTCTTATCGGAATATTGTTGCTTGATAATTTGCTTTTTAGAAGCTATTCGTAATCGGTTAACTAATAAATTGAAATATTCTTATAGGCGCGTCGCCAACAGCGATGAACTCTTAAACTACTTAACTGATTTTAGTCAAATTTGCACACCGTGTGCAGTTTTCTCCAACTTGAGAGATAGGATAGTTTTTTTGCCCATGAGTGACCCACAATTTTTATTATGCAAATTTTAAGATTTTTAATACGACATGACAAAGGGTCGTCAAAAAGGGCAGAACAACGTCTGCCTGGCAAGCTAGTTTCTATATAAAATAATACTCCATTATTTTAAACCATTAAGAGACAAATTTCTCTGGTCTGAGGTGAAGGGCCGTACGAGGCGGCCACTTCAGGTTGGGCTTCAGCAAGTATACTCCGGTTATGTGTTGGTGGACTAAGGCTGAAGCGAAGTTTGGGGCAGATATCCTACCTACCCGCTAATGTGTTTTTTTTTTTTTGTTAGTTAGTAAGACAAGACTCCATGCGCCCTTTCTTTATCGATTTTGGGAGGCGATGCAACGCTGATACTGCGGTGGTGAGGCCACAAGGGAACAGAAGTGTACAGTAGTGTTCCATGAATGTTTATAACATTTTTTTATAGGAATTGATGAAAACGAGCACACAGTCCACCTGATGGTAAGTGGTTGCTGTGGCCCATAGACATCTACATCTATCCTCGATTACGAATCAAAATGCAGGTGCGTTGTCATCTGTGAGGACTTAGGTGGAATGCCTCGTTTCCAGTAAAAAGGGTCTCTGATTCTCTACACTTACAATACGAAACACAGCAGCATTAAGCTACTATTTGACGCTGGTATTCCGTGAGCGCGTGGTCCTTCCCCGGTCGAGCCGACCCATTCGTGCTACAACTATACAATTTAAATAGCTGCAGCATGGCTCTACCACGTACGATTCTTACTGCTACTGATCTAACAATATTGTATAACATTTTAGTTTATATTTTGTTGTATAATATACTTCTTACTTAGATTGCAGTTAAAGATGTGAGAAATAGTCCATGTTACATGTTAATGTTTTAGTACTATAGATAATCACTAACCTGAGAACTCTTTGACTCATCGGCAAACATGCAGTTTTTAATATGGAGTGTTCCTGTTCTCATTACAATGATTGTGCTCACTTGTGAGCAGTGAAGAGTTAAATTTTGTATTCTACAATCTTCACTGAGCATTAACAAACAAGATCTCATGTCCGTTGCCCTAAGTGTAGCACCTGTAGTAATAATTAATACCTTTATACGAATGATATATTCCATAAAAATTGTCCATGACTTTTATCATGGATTTCTCATGTTTTAAAATATTTCGGTAGTAAAAGTGTGAATAAATATAGTGTAACAAAATTTTACCATAAGATAAATTTATTGCATATTTTTATTTATATTTTATAACATGTAATAAACTTTTATATTAATAGATGTGCTCTGGACAAAAATAAATAAAACTAATCCTCCGAGGAGACTCACCATTAAAACTGCAGATGGAGATTTGTGATAATGGCATCTCTGGCAGCTCATATTGCTGACTACAGACTACTACTTCATCCGGTTCTAAGGTGAGGCCATCTTCAGCAGAAACCACAACCGTCAGATTATGCTCTTTAGTAAGATATGAGTGAAGGAATTTTGATATTTCATCAAATTCAGAAACTGAGCCCCCTTGCCAGAGTGCAACAACCTATAAGATTTATTATATATTAATGTTTGTTCACACTAACATAAGCAAACCATGTATCTCTACATAGTATAAAGCAAAGTCGCTTCCCGCCGTCTGTATGCTCAGATCTTTTAAACTACGCAACAGATTTTGATGAATTTTTTGAAGTGAATACTTCTTTAGCGGCGTTGTGCACTTTTTTGTAATGGGTAAAAAATGTTAAACTCGGGTCAGGACATGATCGAAAATTCGTAAGACGAATGGAGAGAGAGAGACAGCCGGCGCGGCGTAGGAGAGGAAATATCCCCTCTCTTTCCACGGCGCGGCGAAAATGTATGCCTGCGCTTGCGCGAATGTTCGTGTGTGATAATTAAAGCAAAATTATTCCCTAATCATTCCAAAATATCAAAAATGCACAATGTTAATATTCAAGTTTTTACTTCTGCCGGCACTCCCGGAGTGCAAACCGTCGTTTTTTTTTGTGTGCGTTGAGTGGTTTCCTGGATGGTTTAAATTCACAATCGGACCTGATAGATGGCGCTTTTGTCGATAATCAAAAATCACGCGTGGGAAGCCGGCGCGGATCGCTAACTACACCATGTGATTATGCCCTAAATAATAATGCAACACATTTTAGTAATATGGAGCAGTGCCTTTTTTGACTTTTGATAATCATAATTAATTACATCTTAAGAGGATTGTGAAGTGTCGATACGCGGCGCCAGTAGGTATTTTAAAAAATGCTATCTGTTTCATAGCGCTCGCTCCGTATCGTCGTATCAAGCGACAGAGAGAATTACAAGTATTGGGGGCAATTGCTTACATTTACTTTTTGAAATATTGTTTCGGGCCATAGAGTTTTTACCTAAGTGGTAGAGCTATGCTGTAGTTATATTAGTAGTATAGTTGTAGCACGAATGGGTCGGCTCGACCGGGGAAGGACCACGCTCTCACAGAATACCAGCATCGAACAGTAGCTTAATGCTGCTGTGTTTTGCATGGTGAGTGTAGAGAACCGGAGACCCTTTTTACTGGAAACGAGGCATTCCACCTAAGTCCTCACGGATGACAACGCATCTGCATTTTGATTCATAATCGAGGATAGATGTAGATGTCTATGGGCCACAGCAACTGCTTACCATCAGGTGAACTGTGTGCTCGTTTGTCATCATATCCTATAAAAAAAAACCTTCCCCCAAACCTTTACGAAATCAGACAATTTTTATTAGATGATTTTTTAAGTACATCTTAATCTAGATGTTTTTATAGTAATTTAGTTGTTGTAATAAAAGAAAAATAAAAACGCACCAGGAAGTTTTTAAGTCAAAAATATAGATATTTAGATGCCTATATCGTATGCAATATTTCTTTTAAAATAAAAACGTACAGACCTCGCTTTTTTATTATATCTACAAGATTTCCAAAAATTAGGTTTACATCTTCATAATCCTATTAATCATAAAATAGATACATCACATGAAGGTTACTCACATTCTTTTTACTCTTATTTTTCAGCCATTTATTTTTTGTTTTAGTTAAGTATTGTTCTCTAATCAATGGGTTTTCATAAAGGGTCCACTTAGACATCAGACCATCTAAGCGCGCATTCATCTCAGCACATACTGACAGGTAGTTTGGAGGAAGCAGTGAATCTAAAAAATAAAGAAATTTTGAGAAATTATATGCAAAACTAAAAACTTTCAACACAATTTCAATTTATTCAGAGAATAATTTATTTTTATAACTTCTAACTAATTATACATGCACTATAAACTGTCACGCCTGACACCCAATGGGGAAGGCAGAGACTATGAACTTCAATTTGGCATGATTCTGATTCCTCTCTTTCTCTCTTGTTGGCTAAGGATACTACTAAATTTGCCCATCTTAAATGTATCGCCAAATTCTCCATGATGGTGGTGGATGCATGTTGTTGTTCAAAAATGTTTCAACCCACATAAATTTAGTGTTATTGAGATTTTAAAGACAAACACATTATTTTTTTATTAAATTATATAATGTTATGTAAGTATATCATTTCTAAGAAAACTGAATTTAGATTTTGATAATTGGATATAAACTGAAAAAAAAATATACTTCTGGATCATTATTTTGGCCAATTTGGGGTTTGGGTCGATAAACTTCTGTTTTGGATGTCCGGTGCCGATTATTCCGCTCAATTAAATAGTATAAATTCACTTTGTCATTCTTTTAGCATTTGCTCTTTCTACATGTAACCTAACCACCAAAGCATTCCTTTCTTACTTTTGTACTTTACTTTACTTTACATAATTCTTAACAATCACATCTCATATCTGCCGCCAAGTCGAGCACAAAGCGACACGGCCGTACCACACTTTTCTCGAAACAGTTCAGGCCATTTTCGACCCCACCACAACTTCGTTGTAGATAAAACTAAAAGCCTGAATTTTCAGTAACCAAGCAGGCATTGTATAAACATGGTATATTTCAAATTTCATTCAATTTGAACCAGTAGTTTAAGAATTATAACTAGTCAAAGTTTTTTAATTTTGTCACTCACTGACTGACCGATCATCAAAACTCTAAGGCACTTCTAGCAGACATAGAAGCTTCAAATTTAGAATACAATTAGTGTTTATTGTATGAATCAAGGATAAACTAAAATATTTTTTAATTTCGATCCAGTTTTCTAGATACACTAGCTGCATAAATAACTTTGTAAGCCCATATAAATATATAGAATTACAAAGTTACATTTGCAGTGAATGAATCAGTGTACCTGTATATGTACAATAGGTGTCGGTAGGTACGTTGTTGGTATTCAAGAAGTATAAGGTATCGGAAAAGAGAAAAAGTAAGACCATCTACAAAAAGAAATGAGATGCCATCAAAAACATAACTTGTAAAAAACCAAGTCTCACAACTCTGTTCCTCTACCATAAAAAGTTGTGTGATCTATGAAATACCAATTCGGTTAATTTATTCAGTCCCTACTTAAGGATCCTTTTGTTTTAAGTTATTACGTAATTAGCTAACCTAACAACATCTTATAGTGACCATATCAATGTTGAAAATCATTTATGTTTTAAATAAATAGATTGACTCGGCAATCGCACAAAACAATCTAAATTATTATAATATGTATTATAAGGACCTTTAAGCAGGGACTGAATAAATTAACCGACTTGGTATTACATAGATCTCACAACTTTTTACGGTAGAGGTAACTGAATTGCGAGACTTGGTTTTTTTACAAGTTATGTTTTTGATGGCATTAATTTTACTGACATACTTCTACCACACCCAACTTTCACTACTTCAACCATCTCAAAATAAAACTGAAAATACAATATAATTATTTACACATATGGTTAAATAAAATTGAAGTCTGTCTGTAACATAAAAATAACTGGCTTCTATTATGCTCAGGGACTTTTTGCATACTATTAAGAAATAAACAACCATATAACAAATTTGTCTGACTGTCTGTCCAGGTTAATCTTTGGTACGGCTGAACCGATTACAGATTGTATGAAAATATAAAAAGACAAGTAGTAAAATAAAAAGATTTGTACAACCAACTTCAATAAAATTAAAATGACATCATCAATGTATTTGAAGTCATTTAAATACGCATTATTAAAGATAACTCAAAAACTACTCGTCAGATCTTAATTAAATTATTTATGGGACCACACTAGAAGCACCAGTTTCAGATAAAAAATGAATCATCAAAATTGCTTCACCCAAGGAAGTTATGACGTAACACACATTAAAAAACATAAGTTGAATTGAATATCTTTTCCTTTTTGAAGTTGTTAAAAAAAATAGAGGGCAAACCTAGGATTGTTATTTTGGTAAATCCTACCTACATTAGATAGCCAAGATTCAATAGTAGATACAAGTACAAGGATGATGAAAAATAAACTTCTACGTTCTTAAAACCAGCAAAACATTAAAATATAAATCAAATACTAATTAAAAATATGCATACCATCATCATCTGCTAATATTCCATCACAAAGAGAAGAATCAAGCTCTTTTAGTTTTTCATAAGCATTGATGGCACTGTTTCTTAACAGGACTATAGATCGAGCCACACAGTTTGGTATTGTTCCATTATGAATATCCCTCCAGAGGCTCATCCGATCTTCTATTGTGTTTGGTAGCACAACTTTATCATCTTGATCATCCCAAGGCATCCATATATTTTGATAAAAGAATCTAAAATTTAAACACCATTCTTTAAACATCTTCACTGTTACCATTACAGCCTATTAGAGTCGACTGCTAAATATAGGCCTCCCCCATAGATTGTTGAACGAGTGAGCATCAATTGAAACAATTGTTTCATTTTTATTTGGATTATATTATACATATAATGTATTTTAATATACATCACATGTACATTAATGATCCTTCCGCAGGTTCCCCTACGAAGACCTTGTTACGACTTTTACTTCCTCTAAATGATCAAGTTTGGTCAACTTCCCAGCAACGCAGACGACCGTGAAGCCACCGCGTGACGGGCCGAAGACCTCACTAAATCATTAAATAGGTAGTAGCGAGTAGGGATGGGCCGAATATGGATTTCACCGAATACGAATATTCGGCCGAACATTATTCGGCAGGATTACCTCGGTACCTAACCAATTTATGTCGAAACTTGTTACTATAAAGCGCGCGGGATTAGCGCCGGAGCCTTCCCCTCGCTCCCCCGCCACACCTGACATGTTATTGCTTCATCTAGTATCGGCAAATTGCCGGCACATGCTTATGTTTTGACTATTTTTTGAGAAAAAAAGTATTTCGTTGTGTTATTCTTAGTGAAAATTGATAAGTATATGATGAAAATGAGTGGCAGATCTACTATTTAGACCAATTTTAGAGAAACTGACGACTGTAATGTAATGTTTCTTTGTTTGATTCCAAACAATTTTTTATCAAACTTTCTAGTTGTTACAATTGGAAATAAATCTACAGTGCCTCAAAAACATAACGCTATATAAGTAGATTTAAGCCATAAATAAATATACTTTTAACAGCAAAATTATGAAAGACATGGCATTACTCAATTCGTACATTTCCATACAGTGGATACTTTGAGTACCACTTTACCGAATGTTCGGTGATTTAGCCGAATATTCGGCCGAATACGAATATTCGGTAAACCTGCCGAATATGCCGAATACCGAATATAAAAGGAATATTCGGCCCACCTCTAGTAGCGACGGGCGGTGTGTACAAAGGGCAGGGACGTAATCAACGCGAGCTTATAACTCGCGCTTACTAGGAATTCCTCGTTTATGGGGGATAATTGCAAACCCCAATCCCTAGCACGGAGTAGTATCAACGGGTTGATTCTCATAGGGGGGACATTTGCCATAATTACCATGCTTGGTAAACGGGTTGGAAACTGCAGTTTCTTTTATTTTTAGTTGTTATTAGGAAGACACTGCTGCCAATCTCCTGTATTTTTTCCCTCTGTGGCCTCATATAACACCCATGGAATGGATATTCTTACACTGCCACTACATGGTAGCATGGCACAATAAATTATCACCAGTCGTACATATCATTATTACTTACATAAGTCTCATAAACTAGGGTTGCTAATCGTAGCTTAGCGTAGCAATTATGGAAAAATCCCCTCTGGAGGCAATCTATGGGGGAGCCTATGTTCAGCAGTAGACTTTTGAGGCTTGTAAAAGACAGGCTTTGCTAAAGTCACAAGCTTAAATTTTAATGTCTTATTATCCACTATCCCTTTTCCCATAATTGACCTCTTCATTTTCTACTTGTTTTATTTTGGTACAGGTTGTTCTGAAATTATTTATAGCAAAGTATTGCTCTATTTACTATTATATTATTAGTATTGGACAATTTTTATACACAAATTGTGTATGAAAATTGTCCAATACTTATCTGAAAATGCAATACCAAAGCATTTTCATTCAAGCATTTTTTGAGCAACAAATTGTAGTTAATACATACCTTAAAAGATCAATAAATTCTGCAGTAGAAGCTGCATTAACACATTCCTCGCGCTGTTTGAGAGTAGGCCAGAGTTGTATTAATGGAACATCTACAACTCTCTGTGGTAAAGTTACAGCTGCATGTTGTACACTTAGAACATCCACACAAGCTGCCAGTTCTTCATAATCAACAGATGTAACAGTTACATATGCAACACATGGAAATCTTACTTCTGAAATAATTTATGAATGTAATTAGAATATAAAATGAATTCCCTTTCTTTAATAAACATAGGATTAATAATATTTTAAATTAGTTTTAAAGTAAGTGTATAGATAATATTAGACAGGGTTATTTTTTAAGAAGTTTCCAAATTTCATAATTATGTTCAAATGTATAAATAATGATATACTATAATTGCAGTTTTTGAAAATACGAAACAATAAGGCTTCTACTTTGATCCCAAATTAAATCTGATTAATGGGCAGCAGCTATGCGTATGTGCATTCCTCTATGTGCGACTCAATACACGTTTTTGGAGCGAACATTACGAATGTGTGATTGTGTAGTAAAATAGTAAGCATTAGATATTTATGAATGACGTTCAGTCAAAATAATGCAAAACCACACATTATGAAATAAAAAGACAAAATGGACAAAATGTTGATTGATTGATGAAGGACAAAATGAAGAACGTAAGAAGACCCTAAATCTTTTAAGTAAGAATAGAGTCCCTCATGCAGAAATAATTGATAGAATTTACTCAAAACTTCCTATCTTACAAGCTAATTACGATAAGATCCCAAAACAATTTGTATTTGATAAGAAGTATAAGATACAATTAAAGGAAACCAACCAGCACCCAGAGACATTAAACCTAAAAGAGCTAAAGTTTTCACAGATGGTTCTAAACAAATGAAGGTGTAGGATCTGGAACTTTCTCTTCTTCTTCTTAAAGTGCCATCTTCTTTCGAAGGACGACGATCATTAAGGCAACTTGAATCTTTGATGCTGCGGCTCTGAATAAGGAACGGGTGCTCTTTTCAAACCATTGGCATAGGTTTTTCAGCCAAGATGTTCTTCTTCAACCCACACTTCGTTTTCCTTGGATCTTGCCCTATGTATGATGAGTTGTAGTAGATCGTATTTTCGGTTCTCATTATGTGGCCGAGATAATCAAGCTTTCTTTTCTTTACTAAATATACAACTTCGTGTTTTTTCTTTATGCGACTTAGCACGGTTACATTCTTTATTTTGTCTCTCTAGGATATCCTTAACATTCTCCTGTATACCCACATTTCGAAGGCTTCAATCTTCTTATAGCTCGATTCTGTGAGGGTCCATGCTTCAACACCATACAAAAGAATGGAGAAAACATAACATCGTGCTAATCGTACTCATATCTGGATGTTCAGCTTTTTATTGCACATAAGTGACTTTAGCTTAAAGAAAGCATTATGGGCTTGTTCTATGCGACACCTTATTTCAAGACTATGGTTTCCCGTATCATCAACCCAGCATCCCAAATATTTTTATTGCCAACTTTTTGTGGAGGCTGTCCATTACATAGTAGAGAAGGGTTAGCAGGTGGTGTTTTACAAACTGTCATATATTTGGTTATCTATAAGGATCTGAAGTTCTTCCATTGTAGATGGAATAAGTACAGTGTCATCGGCATAACGGATATTGTTAATAATCTCACCATCCACTGTGATACCTACATCCACCTGATCCAATGCTCCACGGAAAATCATCTCTGAGTAAATGTTGAAAAGAATTGGCGAGAGAATACATCCCTGCCGTACTCTACGTAAGATTTCGGAGTCATCTGTTAGTTAGCCCTCTATACGTACATTCGCAGATTGGTTCCAATATAGGTGTTTAATGAACGTCCTTAGAGTTGAGTCCGATGGATTGTAATATGTCAATCATTCTTGTATGCTGTACTCTATCAAATGCTTTTTCATAATCGATAATGCATACAAACACATCTTGATTTATGTCCCAGCATCTCTGTATTAAAACTTGATAACCGAAAAGTGCATCCCATGTTCCCAGGCCATTGATGAATGTAAACTGTGTTATTGAAATGAGGATGCTATAAATTCTTTTATGAATTACTTTAAGGAAAAATTTTAGGATATGACTCATTAGGAGATCTTTCTTTATTCTTTGCATTTCTTTGCAGAAGCAACTTTGGGCAAGGTGACAAAGGTGGATTTGAGCCAATCCAATGATATGACGTCCGAATCATATATAGTGTTGAATAACTTTACTATTATTCCTAAGTTAACATTTTCAAGTACTTTAAACAGTTCCACGGGTAATTCATATCTGCCTACATAAGAAATTTCGCTTTTATTAATAGGTGGTCCAGTCAATTCACTTCCACATGAACTTGGTTCCAGAGCAGGTCTAACGTCATGGAATAGTATTATGTATTTCTGCCAAATATTAAGTTTATCTTCAATTGTTTTGGCAGGATTTCCCTGATCATCCAGTAATATGTTGCAGTTCATGTTTCGTATTTTAACAGTATCGATTATTTCTCCGATTTTCTTATGCACATTAAAAGAATACTGTCCTCAAACTATTCTATCGCAATACATTGGTCAACCATCCATTTTTCTTCCGCTTCAACTACTTTTCTTTGGATTATCTTGTGTATGGTTTTGTATTATACATTGAATATAATTATAAATATTTATTGAACTTTCTCTGAAAACCTTAATATCCATATTTGTACACCGCTGGGTACCCATAACACAGTCTTTCAGGCAGAACGTATGAGTATCATACAAGAGGCTATAGCAGTAGATGCAAGGAAGGTAAAAGATTTCTCCATCAGAATACTGACCGACAGTATGGTAGTACTACAAGCTCTGAGTTGCAATATGGTAAACTAGGGACCAATATATGAATGCCATCAACAATTAAATAAGGTATGTCATATCAATGATTAAGCACAACAATGAGAAGCTGCAATGGATTAAGGGACACAGTGGATCCAGAGGCAACAATGCAACAGATGAACTGGCCAGAAGGGATCTGGCTCTAGCAACTATAGGGCCTGAACCAATAATACCAATCCCCTTTGGTTACACTTGTTCACTAGTACGTAGAAACTTCAATAATCTACCAATTCAGCTATTATATACACGCAAAGCTTTGGAAAAATCTAGTAGACTGTAGACAAGCTAGGGAGGAACTGCCTGAAATAAACAGTTGTCTAACCAAGGTTCTTATGAAACTGAACAAGTCACAGATCAGGATAGTAACAAATGCTAACACAGGACATAGCTCCTTAAACAAACATTTATTTACCATGGGTGTTACAGATAGCTCCCTGTGCAGGGGAGGAAGAAACGGCGGCTCACGTGTTGCTGACATGTCCGGAGGTCGCTTCATACATGGCTAAACATCTCGGCACGACGGAATCGCTCCCCAAAGTTGCTTGCAACATCAAAGGACTGTTGAATTTCTTCAGGGAGATTTCATGGCTCGAATAATCACATTATTCCTGCCCAAACGCAAAATACGCGCTTAGACGTGAAGTTGCGGAAAACAGCATGTCATAAGCTAAACTAAGTTAATTAAATGTGATAAAATCTGTGTAAATGGTTTTATCTGTATATGTGTAGTCTTCGCATAAATTTAAGAAATCATGATTGAAACCCTCTTTTAAAAATAAATAAAAAGAACTCTTGAGGACTTAGATTAACCTTCAGTATACAAGGTGGTATTTGATAAACCCCAGGTGATCAAAACTTTGGCTTTGACACACCGGGTTTGCCTCTTATAATAGCTGAATTGGGGACATTGGGGGCATTAGCTGTCATTTGATATAGTGATGCTTGCTATCTAACGGATGCTGCACATATTTTAGGTGTGTCACACCTCACCTTATAAAAATAAAAAAGAATGCTTAGGTGAACTTTCGTCTACTCCACCTGTAAAAAAAGTTAACGCTATTCAAAGATGTTCCAAATGCCCCAGAAAAAAAGATAGAAAACCATAATATGTTAGCAAAAAATTTTCAATATCATTGTGTCTTAATCATTATGAAGAATGCAGGCCATAAGTTATTTTACAATGTTTTTTCTTTAATAGTCTGTGATTTCGCTGTTCATATTAAACAAATAAATAAATATTAAGACCGATTTTGTTAAAAATATTAAAGTAATTAAGAAGATATTGATCTCAGATTAATTTAAGGTATCAGAAGTTGATAGATTTTGTAAATATTATTTTAAATACATAATTTAGCTAGTACAATTTTTTTTTATTTATAACTACTAATCATACATTTAAAAAACTTTTGGTAAATCCAAATATGCATGCCTTAAGCACTCATGTTATACGAAAATATTTTTAAAGTATTTTAAATACACACAAGTTTTCACAAACAACCTTGTTACTTTTACTTCTATTTTTCCGATAATATGACAAACGTCAATAAAAAAAGTTTGGAAAATCCAGAAGTGCACAACTCATGTCATCGTGAAAAAATGTCGAAAAAAATCTCAATCAATAATAGAAAATATTACTGTTAATTTTACTATGTTATTATTATTAAGATTCAAATTTTTTTTATTATTTTTAATTGAAAAAACTTAACAGAATTATTTTAAAATAATCAGAAATCAACTTTAATTTATAGGTATTTGTACTCAGGCACAATGGCATTGACAGCTCTGTGGTGCAATAGCTTAATTGTTCCAGGTCTGTTTGTCCTTGTGCAATTTATGTATGTAAACTGCCTCCACAATACAGGAGAAAATCCTAGTGTGGGGGTAGCGTTTTTTAAAGAATAAGAGGGCATTATTGTAAAAACTAGTATTTTTTTACCTGACTCATTAATAATTTCTTTTTCTCATCAACTTCATTTCATTTTCAACAAGTTTTCCATGTAGTTATATCTAACCAATATTTTAATTTAGCATTCACTCAGGTCACTCCATAAAGTCCAAGATGTATATTTATAAATAAATACTACACCCTTTTAGAAACAATATATTGTAATGAAAAACCGTGATTATAAAAATAATAATAATATCTTACCTTGGTCAAGTATGTAACAAATTTGGTTTTTAGAATATATTGTGTTTCTACAGGTATCAATATTTTTCATCACAAGCTGCTGTTATTGTTTGTTTCATTCTATTTTTCAGCATGAAAAACATACAGTATACAGTAACCCACTCACAATGGCGACCAAGCCCACACTGAGTCAATGCGGATCTATACATAGTAAAATAAATATAAATAATATTAATAATACCTACAAGGCAGATCAAACAATGAAAATTTCGATATTTCTCAGCCACAAAAAATTTATTATAACTAAACAAAACAAAAATAAACAGCCATTTACATTCCATGGCTTCCCACATCATAGATGAAGAGATTAAAAAATAGATCAAGTTGAACAATTGGTATTTTCAAAAGCTATCATGTTTACCCCACTATGTAGACTTGATAAATTGACAACATAAGCCATTAAAACCACTTTTTTTACGTAAAAATAGCAATAAATCGATTTCAAAAAAATTATAATAGGTTGAACTATCATTTATCTTTGTAATGATGTTTTTTTATATCATTTATATGGTCAATATGATTGTTACATACGAGTTCATGCAACAAAACATTGGATTCTTGATTTTTGGCACTAGTAAAACATACATAACGCGCTTTGCACTTAACCCCTAAGATACCGTGGACATGTTGACAGGTCCAAGTTTTGTGACCGCTAAGTACAGAGGACATGTATACATGTCCGCATTACGTGCTGCTATTTTCGTCATTAATTGATATAAAAATACAGTATATTTTCGATTGAACACTATTTCATTCGATTCTGAACGAACTAAAGAATATTCTGTAGCATTATATTCACTCGGTTACATAGACATCATCAAATATAACAGCCATTCGCTTTTGCGTGCCGGTGCGGTTGGTTGCGTAATCGTTGAAGTTTTGTGATTGTGATTTTAGTTGGATTTTCTTTCAAAAAAACTGTAAGTAATGTTACTTATCTTTACTACGTAATGCTTTTGAATGATTTAAGTTACAACAACAGTAACTTTTTATGTTTTAATTGATAAAAAAGTAGAAATAAAAAACCTCTACGCGAACAATTCGTAACGGTCAAGATTTCTAATAAGATTCTAATAAGATAATAATAGTATATTTCTTATTGGAATACCATAGTAAATACTTTTACTAGTAATTGCTAAATGTTATATCTATATGATTGTATAAGAAAAATAAAGGAAGACGATATAAAATATATACACAAAAAGATTTTGAAAATGAGTTTAGTAAGCGCGCGCAAACTGTCTATTGTCGAATTTTTAGCAAATGTTTGCAAGTGAAAAAGTAGAATTATTATAATTATTACATGCATAATTTCAGTTCATTTAGGAAGAATATGTGGTATTGATTGTAAGGACATAAAAATAAAATAAAAACTTATGATATTTCATTCATAAAATAAAATTTATCGTCAGTAAGTACACTTTATCAAGATCCGTTAGAAACAAAGAGCTGTACAAAATAAAATAAACATTTATATGTTATGGTTACTGTTTCTACTTATCGAAAATCTTATCGGCTTTAAATAACTGTAACTAAAACCTCTTTAAACACAAATGAAAGGTCGTGAGAAACATAAATATTTAAAACAAGTGCTGCCAGCTGAGGTGACGACGGACGCCTCGGTACAAAGCTGTTTTTTGTTATGGGGGGCGGGCAGTGAGTGATAGGTTAAAGCATGCAAAACAATTATAATAAATATAAATTTAACAAAAATGTACAGGATAATGACACAAGGAACTTTAACAGTGTGTGTCACACCCCACCTTGTAGTACTGTAACTAAACTGCACCTTGTAAGCCGAAGGTTAGATGCCTCACATCTTATATCCTACATCCTATAATTATTCTGATAGTATTATGGTAATTGCATTTAATTGATGAAAGAAAGTAATCACAAACGTCAAAAAAGACAACAAAGGGTAATAATATCATGTAGGCGAAACAAGCTTCGACTGTGATAGATAATCAAGAATTCGTACCAAACGTTTTGCAATATTCTTTTGATAATTTCCATAGTGCATCCCAACCAACAGGTTCAACTGAAATGTCAGCTTGCATACTCCATTGCTCCCGTGCCGTACCTCGACCCGAACTGAAAACTTTCAACAATTCTTGAAGGATTTCACTGTCGCTTCGGTTAAATGAATATACAGAATGCATCTGAAACATACATTTCGAATAGTTCTTTAACTACGGTAGAAGTAAAGTAATCGGGTAAAGAAATGCAAATTGCGAATGGTAAACAGTTACATACGTTTTTTAATATATTATTTACCATTACGTACCTTTACAATTCTAAAACAGCCGATAGGCAGCAGATTTTAATTGTTTTAATATTAATTGATTCTAAAAAGAAAAATTGTATTTTATTGCAATAATGTGCTGCTGTGGTGTAATTAATTCGAACAACTCAACTTTGACCGTTCCAAAAAAGTTTGATTTAAATTGTTTTTTTTTTGGAGTTTATGGCCTGGTATCTAGACCTTTAGGCCAAATTTAAATTTTAATCATTTCATGTGTTGCCACTATAAATAATTATTGTATTTATAATGGTACCCACCGACGATACGTCCATTAATCCAAATGGAGTGGTAATCGTCCAAAATCGTTCCGTGAATGGTAAAAACATAGTCCACTTGGATGGACTTCATCCAAATCTGGATTTCCCAGTCCAGTCCAAATGGACGTCATCCACGGCCGTCCGTCAATGCCGAAAACGTGCGCCACGCCAATTGGAAGGGGCCCGAATTGTCAGTGAATGGCCGAACCGGCGTCCATTTTTTGGAAGTTATTGTGCCAGTTTATGTTTTGGTGTTGATGGTGGTACATGTGCCCTCTTTGTCAAACATAAACTGTGTATTGTATTAAATATATATTTTATTATGTAAACTATGGGCTGTGATATGGGTGACAAACGAGTACACAGTCCACATGCAGCATTAAGCTGCTATTTTATGCTGTTTTGTGAGAGCGTGATCCTTCCTCATTCGAGCCGACCCGTTTGTGCTACAGTCATAATATAGATGCAACGATGCCCTACCACGTATATTTACAATGAATAATATTATATATGTTTATTTCTTTCATTTCTACCTCAGTCAGCATATCTAGAATGAGAGTGACGAACTAGCACATGGTCCATCTGGTGGTGGGTGCTGTGGTCCATAGACATCTACATGTATCCTCAATTAATGTTACGGATCGCCGTAACGCCGTTCGAAAAAATGAATAAAACGCGTTGTTCTTATATAGGAGGCAAGCGGCGGTGAGGAGGAACTTGTACTTTTATTCTTCTTGTAGTGCCTTTTCAGTGGCTGGAGAGCGACGACGGACCCTACCGGCCGGTCCGTCTTTTATATGAATCGGCCACGGCTGGCCAGCGGACCCTTGCCTCACCCCCGCGCCTTTCTTTATTTCTTTAAAATTTTTATTTATTAACAATTATATTTAATTATATAATATTTTTATATCTAATTCTTATACTATTATGTACACAATAATTATCTTACACTCTAAAAGGTTTTAAACCTTGTAATTTACAATTTTTAAGCTGAGAACCCTGCCCCGCACCTCAGCACTATAAATATAAAACGTCGTGACGCCCTACGCGTAGCTTCATTAATTCCGCGGCTGCATCACAATAACATGCCCTGATAAAGTTATAATTATCTTAAGAAAGGTAATTTATATGTATGGTAATATGTATACAATAAAGGTGATATGCAACAAAGGTAAATTAATTATAAGAGTACAATTTATACTTTAAATCTATGCTAACTCTCGTTATTTATTCGATGCCTTTATTGGGAGAGTTATTTGCATAGTTACAACATCATTCTTTCTTTATTATCTTATTCTAAATCTTATATTAATATAAATTATACATATTTAACAAATTAAATACAATAACCAAGACTACGGCTGTTTTTCTGTGTTGTTGTATGCACCCTCGCTAGTTGTCGAACCTCGCTGGTCGCGACCCCCGTGGCTCCGCCCACCGCCCCTGAGTTGCTCAACCAGTGCTGGTTACACTAAGCAGGTATCTCGTCGCTTGCGTCGTGCATATTCTCCCGCCGTCGCCACGCTGCGATCCCTCTGGTAGCACGACGATCTTCTTTGTTGGTCTGCGTAGTACATGCCCACTGCTAGTGGTTACGTCCACTACTCGTACCTCTCCGTCGACGCCGGGATACACGTTGCTTATTTTTCCCCTGGGCCAGATGTTGCGCGGTAGATTGGAGTCACAAATGATGACCAGGTCTCCAATCTTTGGTGATGCGCCTATGCTGCTGGGCTCCCGCCGGTGTTGGAGTAGGGGCAAGTATTCCTTCACCCATCTTCGCCAAAATATGTCTGCTAGGGCTTGAGCTCGTTTCCACTGCTGGCGGGCCGTCACGTCGCTCTTGCTGAAGTGTCCTGCTGCAGGTACATGTGAGTTGGGACCGATGAGGATGTGATTCGGCGTGATGGCTTCCGGGTCTCCTGGGTCAACTGAGACGTGTCTAAGAGGTCTTGAATTGACCGTGTTTTCGACCTCGGCGAGCAGGCTCACCAGTGTCTCGTCACTGGGATAGCGTTCGTTGAGGGTGACGCGTAGGGCTTCTTTCATTGAGCGAACCATTCGCTCCCAGGCGCCGCCCATGAATGGTGCTGATGGTGGTATGTACTTCCACACAATTTGTCGACATGTGGTTTCGTTCTCGAGGGCTGCGAGTGCTGCTTCGGCCAGCTCCTTGTCGGCTGCCTTAAAACACGTAGCGTTGTCACTCCAGATTTCTTTTGGGCATCCTCTTCTGCTCATGAAACGCCTAAGCGCTGACACAGCTGAGTCGGCGCTTAACGAATGGGCCACCTCTATATGTATTGCTCGTGACGTCATGCAGGTAAATAACGCGCCATAGCGTTTTTCACGATGTCGTCCCACTGTGACTTCTATTGGCCCGAAGTAGTCCAGTCCGGTGTATGTGAACGGGCGTGCGTGATGAGCGAGACGCGCGGACGGCAAGTTTCCTGTAGATGGTGATGCAGGCTTGGCTTTTCTTAGACGGCACGGTAGGCAGCCTTTGATGACAGTTTTTACTACTGGACGTATTTTTCTTATGTACAATCTCTGTCTTAATTCGTTCACGACTGTTTCCACGCCTCCGTGATGTAATCTCTCGTGTACGTGTGCTATGTACAGACGAGTGTATGCGTGCTTCCCGTCTAGTATGGGAGGGTCATACGTGTCCTCCTCTACCTCTGATGCTGCTTTTATTCGACCTCTGAGGCGTAGGGTCCCCTCTTCGTCGATATATGTGCTCAGGTGACCTAGTTTGTCATCACCTCCTGGAACACTTCTGTTGGCGATCCTCTTGAGCTCCTTCGCGAAGCTTTCCCGCTGACTGGCTTGCACCCACAGTTGTTCGGCTCTTATATGATAAGCGGCTGGTATTCCTACAAGCGATGAGACAGTAGGTGTTGCCCTTTTCTCCTTGGTGGGGTTGTTGCGTTGGTTTGTTCTTTGCCAGCCGGGGTCGCTATCTTGTCTTGCTTTGTTGCGTTTGCGCCCAGCCTTCACCACGTGCTTGTTTGGTCTGCACATGTCGATGAATATGAGGACTCTCGCTGTCGTCCTTATGAGGCGAATCCATTTTGAAAATCTTTCTATTTGTGGCAGATGTGTTGCTGGCGAGTCTTCATTTTTAACTGTGATGTTACATATTTCTCGTTCTTCTCCGGTGTCGTATTGTGTCGTTTTTTCTTCCTGCGGCCATTCGGCCGGTGGACGTTGTAGAAACGGGGGCCCTCGGAACCACCGGTGCGACTCGTCGAATCTTTCTGGCGTGGTTCGGGTCGTAATAACACAGAATTCACTGCCACGTTTTCTTTGGACGGTAGCCAACGCCATTCGTTCTTTTTGGTCGTATCTTCTATCTCCGCCAGGCGATGAGCGACGAAAGCTTTGTACGCGCGGGGCTCCGACCTTATCCACACTAGTGCAGTGCGAGAATCGCACCAGTATGTCTTGCCCGCTATATCGTCATCGTGCTCACTAATCACGGTCTGCGCAAGACGAGCTCCCAGTAGTGCTGCTTGTAACTCGAGCCGTGGTATGGAGACTGGTTTCAGTGGTGTCACGCGGCTCTTGGCAGCGGCCAATGATACGTTGACGCTGCCGTCCGCTCGCTCCGTTCTCCAATACACGGCGGCTGCGTAGGCCTCCTCGCTTGCGTCGACGAATGTGTGTAGTTGCCGCGTTGACACTGGGTTGTAATCGTAGCATCGCGGTATTCTCAGTTGTTCTAGGGCGTGAAGTGAAGTAATCCAGTCTTCCCATTTTTCTTTTAACTCTATTGGCAGAGGGTCGTCCCATTCCGCCTTGTAACGCCATGTGTCTTGGAATATTCTCTTCGCTGGGGTAGTCACTGGTGATATTAACCCCAGCGGGTCAAATAATGCCATTATTATGCTCAGCGCTTCACGTTTAGTTGGCAAGCGTTGTTTCTCTTTTACGTCGATCGGCATCTTCATATTGTTTGTATTAAATCCAATATGATCGCTTTGTACATGCCAGAGCAGGCCGAGCGTCTTCTCAGTTTCTTTTCCGCCCAGGCGCACGGTCGCGTCGTTTTGTTTATGCTCTGTCGTTATCTCTTCTATTGTTTTTTCTTCGTTCGATGTCCACCCGCTGAGTACGAATCCCGCTTGTTTGTGGACGTGATCGACTGCTTTTACAGTTTGTTGAGCTTCCGTGATAGAATGGAAGCTCTGCAAGTAGTCGTCCATATAGTGATTTCTCTTTATGGCGACCGCAGCTTCGGGGTATGCCTCTGAATGTTCTTCAGCATTTTTATTTTTGACGTATAATGCTGTGCATGGTGATGATGTCGCTCCAAAGATGATCGATGTCATCCTATATTCCTCCGGTTGGCCCTCCCGCCGCTTGCCTCTCCACAAGAAACGTAAAACGTCTCTATCTTCTTTGCGCACTTTGATCTGCATAAACATTTCTTTTATGTCGGCGCTCACTGCATACGGATACTGTCGGAACCTCATGATTACTCCGGGCAATGATTGTAATAAGTCCGGCCCCGAGTGAAGCATATCGTTGAGACATATTCCTGCTGTCTTTGCGGCGGCGTCGTGTACCAATCTCGGCGGCTTGTTAGGTTTCGCAGGGTTGATGACTGGGAAGTGTGGCAGATACCATGTCTTTCCTTGTGGCGGTGGCATGGGTGCGCGTTCTGCGTAACCCGAGTTGAAGAGGTTCTGTATGCGCTCTTCGTATTGTAGCTTGAGATTGCTGTCTCGGT